CAAGCTCCATTGCAAGTGTTAAACAAATCTTGCTTCTTACTGGTACAGTCTCTTTCCTCTATTCAAAGAAAGATAAACAGATATTTTCCTCTGTCAAACATTGCTGGCCTGCACATTCCCTTCTCCTGCTGCCTAGAAAGAAGGTGATGACTTCAGGTACATGGCTTGAAACAAGATGCAGATGTCACAGAAAATTGGCAGTTCCCACCAAGTCTTTCATAATAAACTGTTAATTCTCACTTAATGGCTTTTCCTGCAGATAAGGAGCAATATTATGACTGCTCTTTAAACTCCTTAAGAGAACACTAAACAATCAAGACACATTTTTAACAGTTGCTAAATAACCCTTACTCTTACAGACTTTCTTCCAAAGTCTTTTTGGCCCTCTGCATTGCTTTCCTTTTTCCCTATTAGTTGTAAAGTGTAGAAAGACAAACATTCTCCTTCAAAGGGAATTAATTTATGAAAACTCTATTAATAAAGCAGACATCATTCTAACCACCCTTCTTAGTAACAACATCACATTACATAACCTATGCATTAAACTTGGGTCCATGACAAAAGTTCTACTTTTCCTTTAAATCGCTATTCTTTACTCCATGACTTGTTTTTGCACAGACGCTCTACTTGGACTTGTCCTTACAACATGGATTCTTCAACTAGTAAACCATTTCTCTAATTTCTAGATTCAAGTTTAAATCTGTGGTGGTTGCTATAACTCTACTGGTGTTATCTGCACAGTAAGGAGCATACTCTTAAAGTGATCTTTGGAATTAATAATTAAAATAATTCTCCAAGCCACTCTTAGCAGGTAATACCAATTCTGACAATTAATTCTCCTTGGGAACAGCTCTCCAACCAACCATACATCTATAGAAGAATGAAAAGTTGGCTCTCTAATTACATCAGCTCTGTTTAACTTTATGCCCAAGACAGCCCTGCAGAAGAGTTGCAAAAGCTCAATTGAGCTTACCCTAAAAACTGTTTCCATGCATAGAATCGATTATAAAGGCAGGAAGAAAATTTACCTCTTTAAACTTGAAAAAGCAATCTAACAAACTTTTGTTTTATTAAAGATTTTAATATTTTTTGCTCTGCAGATTCAGTTCAAGGTATTATCTTTCTTAAATGTTCTCACCACCAAAAGGAAATGGTAATTATGTGATAGGATAGAGATGTTAGCGGATGCCATAGTGATAATCACTCTGCAATATATAAATGTGTCAAATCAGTACACTGTATATCTTAAACTTACACAAGTTATATATGAATTATATCACAAAAGCTGGGAAAAAAAACAAGTTTTATTACGTTTTTATAATTGGTATAATGAGGAGTTCCATCTCTTCCACAACAAGGAACTTCTGTCTATAAGGAGACCCTTGAACATGTGAACTACCTTTACCCAGAGAATTGCAGAAAAGCCAAAATCAGTTTTTCAAAATAACAGTATTTACTTTAGCAAAAAAGTCTTAAATTTGCAAATTATTGCTATATATTGCTTTGTAAGTGTAAATATATATGAGAGTCTCTATATGTCCTTCTTTTAAGTGAGTGGACTTTTTTCCTTAAATCAGAAAACATAAATAGGACAAGCTCTACCTCTTCCATAGGTTGCGAGAGAAGCTACTATGTTCCCAGGGGCAATGCCATCAGTTCTCTGAGATGTCATTTGTAGTCCCTTTGGGTTCTTTACTCAAATGGCAGCCTCCCCCATGTTGATGGCAATCTTGGTGCTTTCCAGCCATGTCAAGTTTCTGGGAACATAGGTGAAGGAAAGTAATATGGCTGAGCAGGAAGGAAAAACTTTACTCAAACATTATCTGAGCACCGGCAGAATAAAACAATATTTTATCCCAGTTAACTTAATTATCAAAAGTATGTCAATCTCTAAGAAAATAATTTTGTCCAAAAACCAAACAAGCAAAAACCCCCAAACAAAAAAAAAATAAATTGTGAAATTTTATTGGATAATTATTATATAACTATTCAGTTTTACTGCAAATTTGGGGTCCTGAGACTCTGCAAAAGCTTTTATCGTGAAAGCTTTTTTCACAGAAAGAATGGGTTTAATTTTATGAAATAGGAATCCAATTTTATTCATGGCACAAAATTAAATAAAACCCAGGATATTTCCTTCCCTAGAACACATAATGAAGTTGCACTGTGAGTAATGATGGGTACGACGCAGGGCCAAAAAAAGGCTCTGCTTTTCTTTATGAAACACAACAGTCCGTTCAGGCTCTGGCCCTTCTCCAGGATCTCAGGCCTTCCTAGTAACTCTCAGTGAACGAAAAGAAAAAAAGCAAGGAATTTACCATAAAATGCAAGGAAATACAGTATTGCTTCAATCAGACTCCATGACAAAGTTATTACAGAAATCAATACTCATTCAGTAACATCTAATTATGCAGCACCCGCCAAAACATAAACAAACATAAAGAAGTTTTAATAAGTATGAATAGTGAAGCTTTAAATACTTTTTGAAAAAATATTAGGAGAAATAATTACTAGGGGAAAAAAAACTGTTTCCACTTACAATGCCACTCCCAATAACATATGATAAACTCCAGTGGGCCCCATGCCTCAGTTTACATCTTACTTTGTTACTGTAATTCATTTACATTAATGACAAGCAACACTAAGAAAATATGGACACTAGAAAAAGGTGCATTGAGCGTGTAAGAAATTCTGAACTGCTTGGAGTAAAACTCTACTAAAATGAAGGGGAGGGACCAAGATGGTGACATCGGAGTCTCCTGAACTTCCCTGCTTCTGTGAAATCACCAAATATACAGCTCTACATGGAATAATTCTCTGAGAGAAATCCAGAAACTAGCTGAACGGCTCCTACACATAGGATGACTAAGATACCTACATCAAAATGGGTAGGAAAGCCTGAGACACACTCTCATCATAAACCCCATTCCCAACACAGAGCCATACGATCAGGAGGGAACCCCCAACTCCCAGCTTCTCCCTAAGGAGCAAAGAGTTTGGATCACACATCTAGTACTGCAACTTTTAAGGCTCCCACCTTAAAAGTGAGCGATGGGCCCCCACAACACCTAGCTCTGAAAGTCAAAGGAGCTTCCATCCATGAGTCCCATAGGACTATAGAAAAAAAAGAAGTTCTTTATGATCACACAAACATGCACCATTGCTATCTCCCCAGGGCTCAG